TGATCAAATATTTACCGCACTAGTATTTAATTTACCATATATACGTGGATACTGTTATTGAACAACTACTGTACATTACTGACCTGGTGAGTAAGGTGACAGTAGTTAAGATTAAAGGGCCCATATAATGCTGTTTTCTGATCTGATTCAGATTTTTTCCTCATTAAAAACATACCTGGAGTTGTGTTTTGTTTCATTCATTCATAACCCACAAATCCTGCATATTTAGGCTTTTAGAGTTCTTCTCTCAAACAGAAAACACTGTGATGTCATGTGGTAATACAGGAAGTGCTCCACTGTGTTTTTAAACTTCATACGCCTTCATTAGAGTCATTAGAGTTTGAATAATTTCAGCAAATCTCTGCTAAACAAAAGGTAAAATTTAGCAGTTTAACTTGAAAACTTCATGACATCACAAAGTGAAACAGAGCATTTTGAGATTTGGAGATAGACAGACTACTAAAGTGTGAATGAAACAAAACACAACTCAGGTTTGTTTTTGAGGAGGTAACAACATTATAACCCATCCTTCACTTGGGGACCCGAATCTTGGTCAGTAAAATTGTGCATGTTTTTGGGTTGATGAAGTAAACTTGTGAGCCCAGATGAAACCCACCGAGGCACAGAGAGAACATGCAAATGCCACATAGATTCATGGAACACGCAAATGCCTGGTAGTCCCGTAACCTGAACCCGTAACCTTCTTGCTGTGCGGCGAGAGTGCTTTCGTCCTAATAGCACATACTTAACAGCCCACAACTGTGACTTTGTGCCTTTGTGCTCCAAACTGTGGTGAAATATGGCGCAGAAGTTGTGTGTATGTTAAGAGCAGCCCGTGTGATTTATGTTGCTAATGGACTTGGTCTGACTGAACCGCTGAGAGACCCAGGAGACGCACATATGAGATCCTGTCTCCTATGGATTTCATAATGCCTCATGTGCACTTCCACAACAGTTTTGTCTTTAATGTGTCAAATGGAACACGGCACTGCACAGTATGTTGCAATCAAATCGGAGCTGCAATTTGAGTGTCAAAGGCTGCAGATATTTAGATAATAGATTGTGGCGTGCAAAAAACAAAAATACTTGAGTTTGAACTTCTACAAATGTGTTCTGAAACGCATGGAATTCTTGTATATGTTACAAGTTCATATTTCAGTCTTCTTCCAAATGTTAAAGCTCCTGGAGTTGTTTACACTGAACACAATCATACTTTATACTACTACTACTACAATACTACTACAATCTTTATACTACTACATACTACTGCAATCCATGTATCGTTCATTCAATCGTTTTTCAATATAAAACCAAAAATAAGAAAATTAAAAAACATCAGTTTTCTTTATTATTTGTCTCCAGAACCAAAATGAAAAAATTTATAACAATTTGTTTTTTCAGTTTTTGAGTTTGTGTTTAAATGAATAATGGAAAAAACAGATAAAGGACATTTCCCGTTTATGTGACTTAAACTGTGATGCCGGACTGAATCAGGACTATGTCCGAGACCAGGACCAGGACTGAGACTGGGACCATACCAGAACTGAGACAAGGACTGAGACCAGGAACAGGACCAGGACTGAGACCGGGACTGAAACCAGGGCTGAGGCCAGGACCAAACCAGGACCAGACTGTGATTGCGACTGGGACTGAAACTGGGACCACACCAGGACTGAGACCGAGACCAGACCGAAACTGAGACCGGGAGCAGACCAAGACCAGACTGGGACTTAGACTGTGACCAGACCAGGGATGAAAACAGTTTTAGTCCTTGTTTAGTCCTGTTTTAGTCCTAGTTCAGTCCTGGTTCAGTCCGTATGCGGTGCAAAAGTCCGGCATCGCACTTTAAGTCACGGAAACGGGAAACTACCGTTATCTGTTTTTTTCATTCTTCATTTAAACACAAAATCAAAACTGAAAAAATGAATCTTTATAAATTTTTCCATTTTGGTTTTGGAGACAAATAATGAAGAAAATAGTTGTTTTTTTGTTTTCTTATTTCTGGTTTTATATTGAAAAACGAATTAATGAACGATACACGGGTTTACTACATACAGTATATTACATAATCAATCACAATACAATAATTTATCATAGTTAGATTTTTTCCAGCTCTACTTGAAATGCGTTTTATCATTTGAAGCACTCGTTTTCAGTCATAGTTCTTACCTTTTGATTAACTTGACGTATGAAGATGCAGTCATAAAACTCGTTATAAAAGTGTTGTAGGAAGCAGTTGTGGTTAATGTAGCCGTATAAGTACTTTATGATATTTCTGTCAGTTTCAAGGTCATAAAAAATAGATAGAGTTGTGCCAGGATGGGCGTCTGTCTGAATGAATAAAGAAAGAAATAGATAAATATGTAAACAAATAAAACACAAAAACAAGTGCATACACAATTAAAATAACACATGACAAAAATTTCAGACAAAAAAGCAACAAAAGGGAATAAGTTATAGTAATAAAAGCACCCACATCAGTATAGGAATTATTAAATCGTCATTTAAATCCAGTTCCTTACATTGAATCACTGTTATTGTGTCTTATCCCAAACGTTACAATATATAAAATAGACAAAGCCATGGCCCCCGTTTCCTGCTCCTGGCTTATTTTAGTCGTCTTTGCAGAATTACAGAATTATAGCGTAATATGTGAAGTTTAATTTGGGCAGCAGATGGTTGGCTGGTACATGCACACACATGATGAATGGGGACATAAACACAGAGTCTCCCAAGTAGCTCCGGGGCCTGCTGTCAATGCAATGAAAAAAGGACTTGTCTGAGTTTAAACACTACAATATGGCTCTGCTTCATTTGGGAGTTTTAAAGGGAAGATTGTATTGGGTATTTGTTGATAGATTGTAATCACTGACTATTCATTGGGTTTAATTCTGGCTGTTGCAATCACAGGAAGTAATCAATTTAGTTTATTTCTAATTTGTCACGGAACATGTACAAATTCATTAATCTTACAAAAGAACGTATGATTTGTACTAGAGATAGGCCAGTCCATATATTGGGCTGATTTTTGCACTTTTTAGTGTCTGTTAAATCTTGACGTACCTGCTGTCTATAGCAGTGTGTCCCAACCTTTTTTCAGAGGACCCATATTTTAAAAGTCACAAACCTTAGCCACCCAAGTCAAAAGACATTATTCGTAAATCACAAAATAAAGTCAGATTTGGTCATTATTGAACATTAATGAGGATATTTTATTGTTGACTGAGTGTCGTGTCTCTCTGAACATTTAGTATTACTCAAGTTTTAAACAATGAAAAACAGTCATTGAAGCAGCAATGAAAGGATCCATAAGTCGTCTATTTGGACATTAAATGTAGAACATTTTTATTTTCAACATTCAATTGAACCAGCAATATTGGAGTAAAATAGTCAATAAAATCATTACAAAAACGTTAGAAATTGTACAGAACATGTCTTAACATTTGAACATTTCTAATGAGGTAGGAGGGCCTGTCTGCATTTTTGTCGCGCATTCCAGTCCGTATGTTGCAGACCTACATGCAGATCATGAAAGGCGACCCAAAAAAAAAAATCTCACGAGCCAGGAAACAATGGTCTAAAGAATACAGATAAAGCTGTATTTGAACAATTAAAGTATTAAAATATATTAAAATATTACACAAAATATTACTCAAAAGTTTTGTTTTGTTTCATTCATTCATAACCCACAAACTCTGCATATTTAGGGTTTTAGAGTTCTTCTCTCAAACAGAAAACACTGTTCTACCTTGTGATGTCAAAATATATTAAAATATTACACCAAATTGATGCTTCTGAGCTTTTTGCCATATTATATAATATATATATACCTCCTCAAAAGCATACCTGGAGTTGTGTTTTGTTTCTGTCTGTATCTCTAAATCCCACATGCTCTTTTCCACCTTGTGATGTCATGTAGTGGTAGTTTTCAAGTTAACAGCTACTTTTTACCTTTTGTTCAGGAAAGATTGGCAATTCTAGAGCTGAAGTCATCCAAATGATTCTAGTGAAGGTGCATGAAGTTTAAAAACACAGTGGAGCACTTCCTGGTGGAACAGAGCGTTTTCTGTTTGAGAGAAAAGCTCTAAATACACAGGGTTTGTTTTAAACATGTGTAAATGAAACAAACACAACTGGAGTTATGTTTTTGATGTGGAAACAACATTATAACATAGATCAGTAAATTGCGTAATACAGGCCCTTTAAGTGTGAAGAGATAACTGCTCAAACCACTACTCGATTATAGGCTTATCATAAAAAACTGCTGTGGGCAAAGTTGTAGTTCATTTATGTTAGATAATTTCAGAAACATGATCAAAATCGGCCTTGCATATCGGCACAAAACTACCGGCAGAGCTTATCAGCGATCAGTTTCTCTGGATTCTAAACCATTTTGGCCAATCTCTAGTTTATACCAGATTTATTTATTTTTTTACAAACTTGAAACAAAATCTGAGCGTAACATTGCCAGAACTACTTGAAATTGCCCACCTGCTCTGACTTTGCTCCCTGAAAACATTTTGACAAGTTAATTAGAAATGTCCAGCCCTGACATAAGACCAGATGAATCATGAATACTTTATTACATCATTGTACCGTTTATGTTCCAGGTTCCAATTCATATTTTTACAATGTGGATATGATTTACAATAAAACAATGCTGTTGACTTGTGCTGTAACAATACCAATATTTCTGACTTGACTATTTAAGACAATAGATAATGATTTTCAGCAAAGAATATTGTTGGTTTCTTTACTTTAATGTTACCATGTGGTTTTAATATTTCAAATGTAAGTCAAAACATCATAAAACTACTCATAAGAGGTCAAATTCTTTTCTATTTATGTGTTTTTGTGTAGTATTTTTCAGTATCAGTACAATACTGGGCTGAAATCAATATTTTTTCCCAGTATCGTCTCTAAGTGGCAGACCCTCCACTAGAAAAGTTCCACAGTGCGCCTTTAAACGTATAAATAATGTTTGTCTGTTGTGTTTACAGGTGGCTCAATGGCCCGAAGAGGAAGAGAAAGAACAGCCAATGTTCGGTGAAGAGTGTGACTGGTGAGTAAAAATACCAAATCACACACGAAACGAAACAAAAACACTACGAACTTCAAGTGTGAATGAAAAGTGACATCGAGTACATCGTGACAGCTAAATCCTCTCCGGAGACGCCATCCATACATTTTAAACCCTCCCAACGCGCATTTTATCTATCTACTTGTTTCTTTTAGCTCTGATAGTGTTTGGGAATACAGTTGTCAGCTTTTCCGTGAGTGAGGAGGAAAGAGTGAGTGAGCTCTGCTGCATAGACAAGAGCCATACATAATTCATCATGCCTCTTGTACTTTACTCGTTTCATTTGTCACCTGCAAAGACAAAAAAAAAAACTCAAATCGCAAGCATCTGTCTTGAGTAAATGAAAACTTTGGCTCAGCTTGTGTCTTACGTTGTCTGAGTAGCAGTTTTACAGCGGAGACATTATGCAGGATTGATTTTTTGAGCTTTCTACCATGTTATAATATTGTTCTCTCATCAAAAATATGCCCGAAGAGGTCGTAGATGTCGTCCAAGCACGTTTGAGTAATTAAGTGATCTCTCCTTCCTCACAGTTACTTGTAAGATTCGATCCAATGCACAACATGATACTAAACTGTACACAACGACTTCACAAACCTGGTGTGATGTGCTGTAGTTTAATGCACGCTATTGTGTTGTGCTCTGAAGGGGGAGCAAAGGGACAGGAGACTCAGAACACAACAGGAAACATATAAACCTTGCTATTAGTAAGTTGTTTTCGGTAAATATAGCATTTTCAAAACAAATTCCATGGTGATCTAAATCTGTTTTGTGATAGCAGTGAATACCCCATAGATGTAAAATACTGCCTTTTTAATGTCTGAAATAGCAAGAGTGAGAGATGAAACTTAAATAGACGTATTAAAATCTGTGTCAGTTGACGCTGTATCCCCAGAGAAGACTTTTTTCCGCACCTTTCTTCTCACAGCAGGAGCCTTGTACACACACGCTCACCTGTCAGGCTCCATTTGGGACGGGGAAATCTGAGTCTGTGTGTGTCTATGGGGCATATGCCAGTCCCAGAGCCTATGTTTCTACGAAATGTTTTATAACATATAATATTTCTTCATACAAAGATGGAAACATAATTATTTTGGTAACTAAAAGGTCATTTAATTAATAATCTTCACCAAGTCTTTGTGTTAAATGATTAAAGGTCCTATATTTGCGTGAAATTGACTCTTGTGAGCTTTAAGTCATGTTAGAATGTCGCTACCTCCTCAAAAACAGACCTAGAGTTGTGTTTCGTTTCATTCACATGTTTGAGTAACCCTTTATTATTAGTCTGTCTGCATCTCCAAAGCTCTAAATGCTCTGTTCCACTTTGTGATGTCATGAATCTGTAGTTTTAAACGGTTCCCTTTTGCTTTTTGTTTAGTAAATTGGCAATTCCAGGGCTGAAATTATCAACATGATTCTAATGAAGTATGGAGTTTAAAAACACAGTGGAGCACTTCTTGTATTAACACATGACATCACAAGGTGGAACAGAGAAAAACGTAATATGGGCCCTTTAACTGATTTGTTTTCTCTCAGATTCATTCATAGTAGTAATTTCTGTCTTTGCAATGTTATGAAAATTTAGTTTATTTGATTTCATTGGCACATGAAGTTCTTACTCATAAAGAAACAACATCCTTTAGGTCACAGATTTGACCCTGTCTGACAATAATTCTTTTACTATTTCATGAGAAAATATTCGCTTTTAAATTCTGGATAACTCTCACCAAAGCGCATGAATGTGTATATATGAATGAGAGTAAAAATTGCACCAAAACTTCCCAAAATATGTGACTACTGTTGAAACTCATGCCACATCTTGTTGCCATGGTGATGCAGATGCGAGTTTCATGGTTAAAAATAAGCCATCACAGACTGCACTGACGCTTTGTGAGGAGTTTCCCATTTCCAGGAGTCTATTGCATCATTACACCCCCAATCCACTCGGGGTGCACTTTACAGATGAAAGTACCATTTCCCTGAACAACTCAATCAAAGACACATTATTTATTCATGTTTTTTTTTTTCTCAATTCATCTTAAAAAGTCAAAAATTTCAAATTCCGACTCGTGATATTATTAGGTTTACAATCTCCAATGTCACCTCATATGCTGTTGCCGTGTGGAAACTTCCCTAGCAACCATTAAGTCGTTAGGGACTGGATTGGCTCAGCCTTCATTTTGGAATAATCAACAGATGTTACGTTAGGGAAAATTGCCATGACAAATTAATTAATTATCTTCAGACTATTTGTCTTCATAAATTAAGCAGTTTTAAACTTGACAGAAACATCTTCATCTTATTTTAATCTGGGAATCTTCCTGGTATGGGCCAAATGTTTTATTCCCGATGGTTTATGATGGGAAAAAAAGGCTGGCTTCATGTGACTTTGTTCTAGTCGGCATGTGAAATTTCCTGTGGTGGAATTTAACTGTTTAGGGGTGTAAAAAAAAAAACGATTTAGTGATATATCGTGGTACTTCATTGCACAGTTCTCAAACTGATTCAAAATGCATCCGAATCGATTTTTTAAATAATATTGTCACAAAAATGAATTTGTTACATTCACTGTTCTGATGAATTAAAATTTTTTTTATAAATTATATTCCATACTATTGTGTTCTTGTGAAGGTGCAGTTGACTGTATAAATAGAAGAAATCATTGATAAATCACAATATATCGTCCTATGTTTTAGTATCGGAATATATTGGGATATATCGAATTGTGACATGTATATCATGATATGTCACACTCATGGTAATGCACACGCCGATTTACATCTGTCAAAATATATGTATGTATTTATTTTTATGGACTTTAAAACGCAAGATTATGTAAAAACTACAGTAAATTTGTGGATCTAATCTCTAACAAACAAAGGTTCAGCGGGTCTTTGATTGGTAATTTTAGTAAAAAAAAAAAATAAAAAAAGAATCCTACATTGAGTATTAAAATATTATAGACGCCTGCCCTCCATGTAAATGTATTATTTAAATTTGTAACTATTAACACTCAGCCTTACGCTTGCGATGTTGTAATGTAATAATGTAATGTAATTTGCTAACAGCTTGACACCAACAAACCACATTTTGCCAGGATTAGCTTTTGGCCCTGTCCCACAATGTTAATGCTAATCATGCTAACCATGCTAACAATGCTAACAGCATTCCATTGACCTATTTCTGACCTTTTTGCTTATCTTTTCGACACTCTTACTGACAAACCGCTGTACTTGTAATCACATTTTGTAAGAATTATTTTTGGCTCTATCCCACAGTGTTAATGCTAATCATACTAGCCATGTTAAGCGTGTTCCATTGACCTACTACTGACCTTTTTGTTAACTTTTTGGCAATCTTACCGACAAACCACTGTAGGTTTAATCATGTTTTGTAAGAATTATTTTTGGCTCTATCCCGCCGTGTTAATGTTAATCATGCTTGCCATGCAAACACCATTCCATTAGCCTATTACTGACCCCTATTTTTCAGCTTGCTAGCCAATTTACGGACAAACCATTATAGGTACGTATTGTAAGGATTATTTTTGGACCTATCCCACAATGTTAATGCTAATCATGCTAACCATGCTAACAGCATTCCATTGACCTATTTCTGACCTTTTTGCTTATCTTTTTGGCAATCTTACCGACAAACCACCGTAGGTTTAATCACATTTTGTAAGAATTATTTTTGGTCCTATCCCGCAATGTTAATGCTAATCATGCTAGTCATGCTAACAGCTTCCATGAGCCTATTACTGACCTCTATTGTTCATCTTGCTAGCCAACGTACCGACAAACCACTGTAGGTATAATAACATGTTGTAAGGATTATTTTTGGCCCTATCCCACAATGTTAATGCTAATCATGCTAACCTCGCTAACTGTTTTCCATTGGTTTGTTACTGACCTTTTTGGTTATCTTGCAAAACCGACAAACCACTGCAGGTGTAATCACATTTTGTAAGGATTATTTTTTTGGCCCTATCCCGCAATGTTGAAAACTGGAACTCAGATGCCGCTCCAAAGGCAATAATTGAAAGTTGAAAAGACAAAATATTTATCTTTGCGCTGCCACACCAGAGAAATTGGACTGGTTTTCTCTGGTTTTTGGCGTTGTAGCTTTAGTAATGTCTGGCTGGGAGCAGAGCAGGAGCGGAGCCAGGAGCTGCAGCGGTATTGATTTTGGGGCTTGGCTTGTGAACACTCGACCACAGCATTGGCCCAGACTCAGGGTGGCTCTGTGACTGCTCGGGGTGCCAGTCATGGGAGCTGACGTCTCCCAAAAAATCATCCCCAAGTACCTCGCCGTCTGCCCAGTTCATACCATTGTATCCCCTGTACCGTTTTTATCTTTGCTTTGTAGGTTTTTCTAGTTTTTGCATCTTGTTATTGGTTTAAGTGGCACAAAGTTGCAATTTTGACGTATCTTAATGAATTGGAAAATGGATGAGCCAAATTCACTGCAGATAATTGCAAACAAAAGGCTTTAGTTGTGATAGTACAATGTATTACTGTCTACAAAATGTTGGTTTCTTATGGGGAAAAAAATCTGAAATTGAGTGAAAAGATGCACTGTGTAACTTTTCTGCTGGAGGATATGCCACTTGCTTGTTGCCATGGACATATTATTTATTTGCAGTACAGTTATCTACCTTTATAGAGGGAAGCAGGTTACAGCTCTCAGGCCAGTTACAGGTCAGATCTGTGGGGAGTTTTTGAGCAATAAAAACAAGTGTAATAGAAAAGAAAGGTACTTTAGGGTTGGGCAGTAATACAGTATTACAGTATCCAGCGTTATCAAAAAGTAGCAACAATATCATTTTCATTACCAACATTTAAAAAATCTGCAGAGCATAAGGACCTTATATAATATTATAATTTATTGATACCTAAATTTGTTTGCTCAGTACAAATTAATGTGTGGTTGCATTTTCAATTTAATGCAATTTAATCACAATTTAAAACTAATAATATCTA